AATATGAGTGGATTCCCAAAAAGCTTTTCCTCAAAAGCTCTTGCTACTACTTCCCTTGAACCAGTTCATCTTTCTTCAGTCTTTTCCTTTGACAAAATCCCTTCTTCTATAAAAATAATTCTTTCTCAAAAAATAGAAAATCTCATACAGATTCTATTGTTCCTAAGAATGCTCGCATCCCAGCTACTCAACTTCCTTTCCTCAATCCTTATAATCTTTACCATCGAGGAAACTCTTTTACTCATGGAATTAGATCTCTGATCTACACAAACCATCCTTAACCAAAAGAGATAATCTAAACTTCTAGTCTAGATCAGTGTGGTATCCCTGCCACAACTGTTGAACAATATGTCACTCTTGAAATAGACCAACCTTTGATTGATGGCTGGATCAACAAAGGTTATACCTACCTTCACATTGAAGCTATTTATCTTATCTTAACCTTTCATGGCAAGAAAGCTATAGCAGTTACTGCTAGAATTGCTTTATTAGATACTACCTTTAAGTCATATGAAAACGCCTTAATTGGTGCCATGTTGACTACTCTCAACTAAGGAAGTGTGGTTCTTACTATAACACCTAACTTTAATGTCAAGCTCATAGATCCATATCTAAATTCATGGAGCTGAACAATAGTCTGATGCTATTATGCTCTGCACTTGACTCTCTGAGAAACTTGTGTATAAGAAAGAATTCGACTGACAATCCATGTGTGTGAGCTCATGTCCTTACACTTAGAAATCCATAAGTTTAGGTGCTAAGAGGTTGAGGATCCTAAAGCGACCTAAGTTTGCCCAGAAGAGGCATTAAAGGACCTTACCTAGATTAATACACCTTGTAGCACTATTTAGGACTATGTGCACATGAATCCCACCCTAATTTATTTATTTTAAACTTATGGCTCTAATCATTTAAGGACAAAATAATTCTATAAGGACAAAATATAATTCTAGAATTGACTATATGTTATGATAAAGGAAAATTGTTAGCTAAGATTTGTTACATAGATTAAAAAGAGAAAAATCTTGCAAGGAAAATTTAATAAATAGAAAGTGCATGAAGTTAGAAAAGAAGAGCAACAGAAACATGTAATTATTATTTTCACTATATTTGATGTTTTTATCTTAAATGCCAACTATGACTTGTGACAATATATATAACACTTGATACTTGACACATTTGCTTTTCATTTAATATATATTTTTCCCCTAAATTCAATGTAATAGAATTAGATGATTGAATTAGTTGAGTTTTTTTAACTAACAAATTAGTTATGAGTTGAATATAAGGGGAAAATGTGTCTTTGTACAAATTACCCACGTTAATGGAATTAATTCAAATATTTCATGAAGTAAGTGTCTTATGAGTAAGCCATTGAAGCTACAACATATCAGACATATGACAGCTCAAGGTTGTTCAAAATTAAAGTCATTGTTTTAGTATATCCATTGCCACAACTATCATGTTAGAGGACTTGAACATCAAAGCTTGTAAAGAATTGAAGCACATGATAACAAATGAAAGAAAAGATGATGAGAACTTCAATAGCACCTCCATCTTCCCAAATCTAGAAACGCTCCGAATCTCAAATTGCAATAATTTGAAATTTATATTTCCATCCACTTTTTCTAAAGGTATTCAAAAACTAAAATCTACAGATATTGATGGAGCTTCTGAATTGAAACATGTTTTTGGAAAATATGACCATGAAGACTATGTGTCAAATGAGAATGAAAATGATGAGGCTCACATTGATCTTCCTCCACTGGAAACACTATCCTTCTAGAAGTACCAAATATTATTAACATTCATATCAAGAAGTATCATCCAAAATGCCCATCTCTACGAATTGTGGAAGCACCAAAGGTATTTTTTTTTTAACTTTTTGCTTTATATCAAGCTTATCATGCTATATTTTTTGGCCCAAAATATATTGATATGCATAATTACTCTACTCAAATCATCACATGCTCATTATTAATCTTCTCAATCCATACTCATGATATCACATAACACATGAAATAGCCATTATAACCTCATTCCAACATGTTCAAGAATCACAACTCATGGCATTGACTAAACTATGCAAGTAAACCTTCTTAATTCATTGCCACATAATTCATGCCACAAATATATCAACTCATAAATTGCAAACACTGTTATATATTACAATTAAACTTCTAGTTACCTTAAATCTTGGGCTTAGCACTCCCAAGAGCACAATTTAGATTCCAATAGAGCTTCCTATCAAGCTTCAAAAGTAGTCCATTTATAGATTGGATTAACAAATATCATTAATGACTAATTATTATTAATTAACCCTTCATCACAGTTAAAGCCTTAATCCCTCATTAAGCATGATTAAGAAAAACCAATCCCATAACTCGCTTCAATTAACATATTTAACCCTCATTAAGCTTAATAAACAATGCTAACTAATTTAATTATCTTAATCTATATATATTATAATTAGGATTAACTCTAAATTCATCATTAATATTCATGAACACTATTGTTAGCTTAAACCAATGATAAAAACATAAACAATCCTCATTAGACTCCATCAGAGTCAAAGGAATGCTCAAAACTAAGGCATAGATTCGGTCTTCACTACTAAAAAAATGACTATATAGCATTATTTATGTAGCTGTTCTTGAAAGAGTCACTGTATAATTGAGGTGGAATTCAAGAAAAGAGACTATATGGCAGTTATTCAAAATAACTGCTATATAGTCTTGAAACAATATAGTGGTTATTTCAACAAATTGCTATATAATCTTTCTCTTTTTTTAAAATGTTTTTTAGACTATATAGCGATTCTTTCAAAATAATCACTGTATAGTATCTTGAAATTATATATATAGTAGCTATTTCAAAGAACTACTATATAGTCTCTTTTCTTTTAAATTTTTTTTCCTTATAAACTATATAGCGGTTCTTTTAAAATAACCACTATATAGCCTTGAAATTATATAGCAGTTATTTCAAAAAACCATTATATAGTTTCTTTTTTTGGGAATTTTTCTCCTTAGAAATTATATAGTGGTTCTTTCAAAATAATCACTATATAATTTCAAGACTATATAACGGTTATTTTAAAAGAACCATTATATCATCTCTTTCCTTTTTGAATTTTTTTCTAGAGACTATATAGTAGTTCCTTCTAAATAACGATTATGTAGTTAGTGACTATGTAACAGTTATTTAAGAAAACCATTACATAATTTTCTAACTCAAAAATTTTAAAACGTACACATTCTATATGATAAATAGGTTGATGATGTCATTATCTTTGAACCAATAATTTTTTTATATAATGGCACACCTACTATTTCTCTCTCTCATTGTCATTTCTCACATTCAAACCTTTGCCCTACACTTCACCTTCACAACACTCAACCCTCTCTCTCCTTCTCTTCCTCTCACACAACTTCATTCCCCTAATACTCCATACTTAACACTATCTCTTATTCAAGCATCTCTTTCACTTCAACACTCACAAGATCAACTCCAACCATGGTCTTTGACGTGACATGTGTCCCTTCTCCTCTGTTTTGTCATGCACTGCTCCATACACCATCGTCTAGTTTGTGTGGTACACCATCTCACTATTGCCACTCTCTCTTGACTTTATCTCATCATCATTCCTGATTATATTGTTAAATGGAAGGCTAATATTCCAGATTTGCAACCACAATTAGTAGTTTTTTGTTTTTGATCTGTGGTTTTTCAAAGTGATACTGGTTCAAGTTTATCTCCTTCATGAGGATGCTTCTTTATTTTTCCATATCTATTATTTTTGTTTTTTATTTTCATTTAAATTGTTATAGAAGTCCTTAGAATCAATTATTGTTAATTTCATATGAAGTTTTATTCTTATTTTTTTCCTGACTTATTTCTGCCTAGCGTTCTCAATTGGACTTACATGTTGCATTCTAGATCTAGGTTTTTCCTTCCTTATTTCTTGTTCGATTTATTTTTTTCTTATTCTAAATCTTCATTCAATTTGGGTTCTGATTTCTTCTTGTTCGATGGCCTTGTCATTTCTACTTTGATTTGGGTTCTTGTTTAAAAGATGAAACTTGTTCACTAAATAATGATATAATGTTTTCGAGTTCCACGGCAAGAAGATTTATTGTTTGTTACAATAGCAATTAATTAAGGTTGCTGGGGTTTTGTTTGCTTTGCTATGTTTTCATTTCTAGTAATGAAGGTTGCGATGAAGAAGGAGAAGGAGGTGGATGAAGAAGAGCTTGCGATGCAAAAGATTGCATGGATCTATTTCTTGTTTCTTTAGATTTTTAAAATATGGCACATGGCTACCAGCACTACACATAATAGTCAAATAATGGTGAATATATTCAAACATTGATGACAAGACAAAATTATATTAAATTGAAAAATGTTCTAATGACATTATTACGTTAAAAAAAAAAAAAAAGCTTGAGGGATATGGTGTGCGAAGGTGCCAATTGCACGCTCACCCACACGGATTTCACGTTCCATATGACAATAATCCTATGAACAACTCTATGCCACGTGTTCTCACATGATTAGTCAGGGGACCTTGTAGTGAAGCCGAAGCAATTGCCTACTTAATCCTTCTTATGCTTTCTTTCTCATTCATGTTTTGTTACTTTCTTTGCTTTCGTCCACTCCATTATTGTGTTGTTAGCACTTTAAACTTCTTCTTCCATCATTTTTATCTCTCTCATATCTGAGCTAGATTTCCTCATCATTCAGTCACGGATTTCAAGTTCCATATGACAACGATCCTAAGAACAGCTCTATCCCCCGTGTTCGCACATGATTGGTCAGGCGACCTTGTAGTGAAGCCTAAGCAATTGCCTACTTAATCCTTCTTACGCTCTCTTTCTCATTCATGTTTCGTTACTTTCTTTGCTTTCTTCCACACCATCACTGTTATTGTCACTTTCAATCTCTTCTTCCATCATTTTCATCTCTCGCATATCTGAGCTCGATTTCCTCGTCATTCAGCCATGACTAAAAAGGTACATACAATTCCATTTGATCTCCTTCCTAAATCCTCATTTTGATGATCTCTTCCGTTTAGTCATACAAGTGAATCATATCGATCATATCAATACTGATTCTGTTCCTTACTTCTGGTAATTATATGTTTAGGTGACAACAATGAAGCTCCATGTTAATCTCCAGTGTGTGAAATGCTACAAGAAGGTCAAGAATGTTCTCTGTAAATTCCCACGTAAGTTTCCCTCAATACTCACAGCTCTCCCCCCACCCTTTTTCCTCACTATTCACTTTTGAAATTCGCATGCGTATTATTCTTCGGAATCACAAAATTGAGTTCATCTTGTGCATTTGTGTGGTTTTTGGATGTTTGTGAACAAGAGAAATTCAAGACCAGAAATTCGATGAGAAGGAGAACACTGTGACGATTAAAGTGGTGTGCTGTAGCCCAGAGAAGATTATGGATCAGCTTTGCCGTAAAGGTTGTGGCGCCATTAAGTGCATCGAAAAAGTCCCATGTAAGCCACCAACTCGACGTCGGCCGACATCTCCGCCGCCGACGCCTCCTCCTCCACCGCCACCGTGTTGCGACTCATGCTGTGAATGCTGGCATGATGGCCCTTGCTTTGAGCCTAAGCCACGAGTTCCAGATAGAACGTGTTGTGTTCCGTGCCATGACTGTCGGCCTTGTAGGCCATGCTCTGAGCGTTGTTGTAGGCCTCCACCATGTTATGAAGGGTATTTTTATGCTATACCTGTTTATGATAGCTATGGTGGAGGACAACCTTGCTACGTGAGCCGTTGTGGTCAATACGTCAGCGAAGATAACGTCACAGGGTGCACAATAATGTGAGCTAAAGCCTCATTATTGATGTGGCCTTGTGTGGAGATAATGATATCTTGCTATATAGAGTTATATGTGTGTGTGTTTTCTTTGTTTAATCAAATTTATGAGTTCTTGTATGGATCCTCGTATGAGTCTAATCAAATTTATGTTATTTGCTTTTGTAATAATAAAAATAATTGTTAACAATGGTTCATATATGAGAGGGAAAATGCGGGTCACAAAAATAGGGTTAATTAGAGTTTTTTATTTATGTTTTATATTTTTCTGAATAGATGAAACATTTTGGGGCGATTTCATTTGCATGCGCATGCAGTTTGTAAAAGGAGATAAAAGATATGAAGAATGTTGACAATGAAAAAAAAAAAAAGATACGAAGAATATAATTAATGATATATTGTCCATTTGTATTCTTATAATCGATGGTTATATATATATATATAAATGATGAATTGGAAAGGAAAAAAAAGGGATGAGAATTATCAAGGGTCACTCTATCTCAATTGAAGTGAATTATTACTATTGCTTGTGATAAGGTTTGATATGAGAGTACTAATGAAACAAAATTTGATTGTGACGCAATTGCTTTTGTATATAATTTCAAAAGTTCCACATGTTATATTAATATCGTGCAATAAGGGAACCACTTTGGTGGGAAAAGAAATATGCATAGTGGCATGCTGATGGTTTTTGATTTGTCCACTTCATATATATATATACACATATACATATATATATATATATATATATATGTATATGTATATGTATATACACTTTTTGATTTTGGAAAAGTAATGAACTTTTTAAAAGCATTAATTCACGATTAACCCTGTTATGATCACCAGTTCTTAAGCAAGAATTACAGAATATAATGGAGGAAACTGATATTCAACTTAAAATATTCATCAATTCGTAAAGCTTAGATCAAAGGTATATTCAGTCAAGCCAATTGCAACCAAATTAAAGCAGCAACAACAAATAATAGAAAGATGCAGATAAGAAGTAGAGTAGAATATTCAGGCAGAGGGAAAGGAGACACTGAGGGAACAAGCTTTAGCAAAATCTTTGATGGCCTGCTCAATGCTTTGCTTTAGCCTTTTATCAATTACATTCATGCCCTCATGTTCCACCTTCTCAAGCCCAATTGAATAACGCATTTGAACCATTATCCACTAGGCCTATTCATAACAGACCCACAAGGTCTCAAGCACTTGCATGGGACCCAAAATTAATTTTTAATATAATATTTTCTTTCAAATTTTAAAAATAATGCAATGTCATATCTATTATTAATAAAAATTAATTTTGATTCTTTAAAATTAAAAAAAAAGATGAAAAAAATTATTTTTAAATAAGACACAAATTATATATTTTTGTACTGCATATTACAAGAACAAACATATAACATTTTTTAACCATTATATATATTAAAGGTATATATAGTGGACACTTCAAAAGAAACGTTATATAGTTTAATTTGAAGACTAAACTTATGCCAATTATTTGAAAATAAACACTATATAGATTAAATTATATAATGGTTATTCAAGATAATTGTTATATAGTTTCAACTATATAGCTGTTATTTTTAAATAATCACTATATATTTGAGTCTTTTGTTTTTTTTTTTAAAATGGGGCTATATTTCCAATAGCCCTTACACTATATAATACAAAAATAAATTCTAGCAACAAATCAATGTGAAATAAAATTCTCAAAGCTCATATACATCGAATCAATTTCAAAATCCAACATTATTTCTGAATAACAATATGTATAATCATTACTACAAAAGCTATCTACAAGTTCAAATAATCCAAATCTACTAGAAAAGTCACTACAAAGAAAGATGAACTATGACAATAGCCTATCAATAAATATACAAGAAATAACAGTAACAAGGTTTGTCAATCAATATCTACTATAATAATATTATGACATAGTCAGCACATTGTTTACCTTGCCTTTTTCTTCTATACTTGATTGTCCATAGATTCAGCAACAATTCAAAAGGTTGACCTATTCAGAAATATCTGGATCTACGCTTATTTTTAACTCTCCAAAGCGTTTCGCTTGATCTACAGCTTTCTTCTTTGCAGACCATATTGCCTTTTCCTCTTGCATTTATAAAAAAGAGTGTAAGTTCCTTCAAGATTAAGGAGATGAAGCAATAAATCAACTTTACTTAGATATGAAGAAAAAGCTACCAAGGGAAAGATACATCACAATCAACAATGAAAATAGCGTTTGCATACCACCATTGCCAACTCTTGCTTTTCTTCAACCAACACTTCCATACATTTTTCAAATTTTTCATGTTAAGAATTAGATTCTTCAAGTTGTTGCCGCTAAATGGACAAAAATAAGATGCTAGATTTCAACTTTTAAATAATAAAAGATGTTAGATCAAAGTGCTGAAGATGAAAATTGAGAAGAGATATGCAGAAAAACGTAGCTTGCAAGAGCACAAACCTATCAGTCAGTTTTTCCAGTTACGAAGCCAAACCTCCATTAATAAATATTTGATCTTCTTTCTCATTCAACGCAGACGGTTCTTCTTCCAAAGATATATTGTTTTTAATTCAAATGCAATGACTTCCAGCTTTCTGTACACTTCCAAAACCATGATAATATATTACATTAACAATATATATATATATATATATATAATTCATTTGTCCGTACTATAATTATATTTCATTATCATCATCCGTACAATTAAAGAAGGTGCATTCATGAGTAGGTCAGTGATGCCGTCTAGTTAGGAAGCAGACGAGAAATGGTCTTATCATGTTAGAAAACTTTTGAGGCATGGTACTATGATGCATTTGCATGGTTTAATGGCTTTCTTATATGAAGTGACCTCACTAGAGAATGACATGTTAACAAATAATATTGCTCCATTAGTATTTCACTTTAGAAAAAATAGTTTGGGACCTGGCAAAAATAGTTAGATTTTCATGAATTTGCGTTCAATACTCATTGCATGCTCATTAAGGTCGGGAGTAATCCTGAGCTTCCATTTCAGTCCAAATTAATTACTATTGTTTATTTAAATTATTTTTTAAATATTTTAAATATTATATTTATTAATATAAAAATATAAATTTTTTTAAAATTTCAATAAATCTATTCATTACCAATCTGACCACTATAAATTTAATCTAGCACCCCAATTTAATATTAAAAAATTATATAGTTTTATAGTTTGACTATTCAAATAAACTCTAGACAATTCAAATATAATTTAAATAATCTAATTTGATATTAAAAATTTATAAATTTTATAAATTAACCATTTAAATGTACTCTAAATAATTCAGATTCAATATTAAAATTTTCTATATCTTTTATTTTAATAAATATAATATCAAGAATATTTAAAAATTAATTTAAATGGACAACAAGGATCAATTTGGACTAAAATGGAGGGTTAGGATTGCTCCTACCCTTTATGAGCATTTGGTGATGAGCAATGATGAGCATCGAATGCAGATATGGATTTTTATGGCTAATATATATATACAATTACACCAAATTTACTATTGTGTGAGTCTGAAAATCAAAATGAATGTAGTTTAGATTTTTTTCTTTTGAAATATTATTAAAGTTTGGTATGGTATAATATTCATCTACACCAGAGAGAGAGAGAGAGAGAGAGAGAGAATGCCTTTAAAAAAACAGAGAGAATGCCATTGGAGACCCCCAGAAGAAATATTATTGCATGTTTGGGCCCAAAAAATTTGTAATTCTGACCTTTCTAAACCAGGAAATAAACTCCTCTTCTATGATAAATAAAAGATAGCAATGATAATAATGGATACTATAGTAGCAAAGGCTTGACCATAATTAAAATAAGCTAACCATACTAAAAAAAATAAATTAAATTATAAAACCTATTATATGGATGGCCAAAAATAAAATCTACTATACACTATGGGTCTGTTTGATTTTTCTCTGTTTCACGTTCAGAGAGCAAGATTTTATTTTCAGAAAGTTAAAAGTTGTTTGGATAGAATATTTTGCAGGAAAATACATCCTGAAAGTATATTTAAACAATAGCTGAAAGTAAATTTATGAAACGTAACTATTTAAATCTTTTGAAAAGTAAATTTGAAAAGTAGGATGTTATTTGACCATACTACCCTAAGTTTAATATCTTATTCTTTTATTTAAAAATAGTTAATTCATTAAAATATAATTATTATTTTAATAATAATAATTAGGTATCAATTTTTTTAGTATTATAAATTGAGTAATTAATCATGTTAATTTTTAGCATTAATATATAATAAAAATTATAAATCTTTATTACATCTTTTAAAATTACAAATTAAAAAATACAAATAACTAGAGATCAAATTTTTAGCATTATAGATCAAAATTTATGTTATTTAAAATCTTTATTATATTTTTTTAAATATTTTAAATATATTACATTGTATAATAAAAATTATAAATCATTATAAATTAATATCCTTTTTGATAATTGTACATTTAAAAGTACATTTCATTATCAGAAACCAAACAACTTTCAATGTATCAAACTGACTTTTAAAAAAATATATCCAAACACAAATTTCATTATAACAACTAACTTTTATTAAACTGATTTTCACCAAATAAACTTTTCACAAATTGAAAATCAAACGCACACTTCTACTGCCAAAAAATGCTACTAGAGCTCCCATATCGATAGAAACGCTCTAAAATATAAGGCAGAACTTACAGGATAGCATCGCTTTTCTTCCACTCCATCACTGTTATTATTACTTTCAATTTCTTCTTCCATTATTTTCATCTCTCTCATATCTGAGCTCCATTTCCTCATCATTCAACCATGACTAAAAAGGTACACACAATTCCTTTGGATTTCCTTCCTAAATCCTCATTTTGATGATCTCTTCCGTTTAATCATACAAGTGAATCATATCGATCATATCGATACTGATTCTGTCCCTTACTTCTGGTAATTATATGTTTAGGTGACAACAATGAAGCCCAAGGTT